GGGAAATAATCTAAGCAACGAGAAAAACTAGAGATATGGAATATGACAACCCAATTATTGAAATAACGAGAGGTATCGGTTAAAAATATTGTATGATACAAAAGCAGCACCTTTAGGCGAGCATGGTTCAACGCCTCTTTTAGTAATATTCCAGCAATATAATGGCAGGCACACCAGAAATGGGTTTCACACATTGTACCGTTTTGGGGAATCCAAACAGGGTGAGGTAACCTTGTGGAGAAAGCGTTAGCTCGTCACGCCGAAGACCCGGGTTCGATTCCCCACACGGGTACATTGTGTGAAGCCCATTTCTGGAGTCCCCCGCCGTGATGTTGCTGCAATATTACAAAAAGCAGCGTAAAACAATACTCACTAACTCGCTTTTAAATGTCATACAAAGACCTTAATGTACATGCCAATAAGTGTGTGTGTGTGTGTGTGTGTGTGTGTGCGCGCACGCGCGCGTGTGTGTGTACCAACCAGTAGTTTTGTACCTGTGAATATGTGTATGTGAGTTTGCATGTTAATTAGATAAACCAAAATTTATTACGTTTGCAATCTGTCTTGACAGACTGACAAGACGTCTTAATTTGGGGGACTTACGTTGGATTTCATTGTACTTGAAGTTACATCGTACCGTAAACAGTCTTTGATCCTCCCTGTCATGGCAACATGATTCAGAATAGAATGAGCGTAGAAATACTTTAATCGTGTTGTGTGTCAAAATATTGATATTGCAATGAAGCGTTCAGAGATACTCTAAGACTGCGAAATGTTTTGTTCTGGTGCATAGCAATTTGGTCTGCCCATAGATTTTGTTCATCAACATAAAAATCTTATCGGGATTGCATGTCCTAGGTCCAATAAAACATTGACACGACTCACAAAAAAATCTTTGTAAACGCCTAAAATCAATCACGATCACCACGACAATATTGACACAGGACATTTCACTCACATGAAAATCGACAATCCAAAATCATTAAAATATGTGCACACAGGGAGGTTGGCAGTTTGGAAAAGTGTTAATGGGTTTGTCACTATTTCAAGAACACAAAATTAAATTCATGTTGTTTTATTTTAACGATATAGAAACGTGATAGGTCATGGGTAATTATATCACCTCTACCATTGACACATCAAAAGCATTTGGACGTAGATAATCTTGGCATGTTTTCTTCTTAGAGTGTGTGAATGTTTTTGTTCAACATAACGTTGATGAGTTTTTAAGATAACTGAAATAAATGAGTTACTTTTGAAAAGAATTATGGGTCCCAAACCTCAAGTGAGTGGACCTAAAACTACTGACTGATTGTCAATGAATCTGTTAAAGGGCGATTTTTCACGACAACAAACCCTTTGCCTTGCCGTTTAAACACAGACAGTCTTTACCTAGCAGTTTCAAAGCTAAAAGAGTGAGTGATAGAGTGAGTTTGGTTTTATACCGCTTTTTGCCAGCAATATCACGGCGGGGGACACCGGAAGTAGGCTTCACACATTGCCAAAATAGTAAAGGTATCACAAGGAAGTCATTTACTTTGTGCATTATATCGATTTATATATGCACATTTACCGAGAGTTCTACGTCAACTGGTGCCAATCGATAAACGAATGCAGACCCATTTCACTTGGTGTACAGGAGTATGATTCTTGTGTCTCGATGCGTAGCCTACTGAATGTCCCGCACTGTGATCACATCGCGGTTTGGAAAACGTATATATGGTTACAACGTTCTTATGTCTGCATACAGTTCAACCTTATCGTCTAACATTCAAGTTTGCCGGGGTTGGGTGGTGGTGGTGGTGGCATCGGGTTTAACGTCGTGCTTGAGAATATTTCGCTCATATGACGACGTGCATGCGTGTGTATGTGCGGCTGCTTGTACTAGCCCAGACTGAAGCTGGTTTTATAGTGCTAGCCCACTGAGAATCCATGCCGCAGTGAAGCATGAATACCCCACTCAGACACATTATACTGACTCCGAGCCGACCAGTCCTTGTTGTACTCTTTAATGCCAAGCGCCAGACAGGGACCAACAAGTACCATTATTTTAACGTCTTTTGGTATGACGCGGTCGGGGATCGAACCAGCGACCTTCCGCACTCCGTGCGGACGCTCTAACCACTACACCACGGAGGCGGTCGCCGGGATTGGGTAGCTAGTTGTTGATGCGTTTTGTCGTCACGGCAAAGACCCATGTTCGATTCCCAACTTGGGTACAATGTGTGAAGCCCATTCATGGTGTTCACCGCGTTAATATTGCTTGAATATTGCAAAGAGCGGCGTAAAACTAAATTCACTCACTCACCCACTCTACGTTTTTTGCTTTTCTACATCAGTCATAAAAAACATATCCCTCCTATTCAACCCTTACTTTGATGTCGAAACCATATCCCAAATATTCCCTGTTCTGTGGTATAATTTCCTCACGTTGTTTGAAGTGTTGAAAAAACTGAAAACTACAGTCATTGTAAATTTCATTTTCACGTCGTTATTTAGCATATATTTTAATATTTAAACATCGAATATTTACTGATGGAAAAATATGGTAGTAGACTAGTGGTTTAAGCGTTTAAGCGTGTGCTCGTCACGCCGAAATCCCAGGTTCGATTCCCCAAATGGGTACAATGTGTGAATCACATTTCCAGTGGCCCTCGCCTTGATATTGCTGGAATTTCGCTAAAAGTGGCGTAAAACCTAGGCGAACACGCCATTTTGTGAAAGTCTGGACGGTTTAGTTTGACATGACATTTCAACATTTATATTGATCGTTCTACTTTCGATGTGAGAAAAATGAGTGTATATTTACGACTTCTAAAATTCCGTATTATTTCACAAAAGAAAGGATTTGATATTTAGTGTTCATGGAACCACGACACTGTGTAAACAGTCGTAACAAATAGAACACTTGCAGGATTATCAAAGGGGGCACGTCGAGTTTTTACTTGCTTCTCTGAATAGTTCAAAACACTTTGTCAGTAGTTCGCAACTGGAACAGATAAATATTGATTAAGATCGATCTCCAACAAGCACGTATGTTCGGAATATAAGTCTGGTTTTATTAGCTTCAAAGCCATGTCCATCGATAAATCGATCATGATTCCCTTTCCTTTGAACAAAATATACCAATCAAAGTAAATTAAATCCCTTGGATCCTTATACATGTGAAGTCAGCACGCAATGGCACAACAAACAACACAATGTTGTAGTTGTTGGTCGTGTACTGTGAGAGCAAGGGTATTGGATAAGACTGTCCATCTCTAAATACGTTTGACGTCCTTCAGGCGTCACGTTAAAAATCCGAGCCCGATTTCCCATCATTGGTACAATGCGTGGAACCCATTTCTGGTCTTCCCCAACGGGATATAGTTTGAATATTGCTGAAAACAGCGTATAAACTAAGCCTTCAACCACTGTGTTGAGAATGTGCATAAGCCTATGAACTGGTTGAGTTGAGCGTACATGAAATACATTAACGAGGAGTATTAGATGACGTTGGGATCAAAAAGAAGCAACATACACGTTTCCATTCTCGGTCTCAATCAAAGGGACTCTCTGACAAGCTGTTGTGCAATCGCCCCCTTCCATGTACCTGCCAGCGATGCGTTAAGTTCAGAACGTCCACGCCAGAGGGTAATCAATCGAAGCCCATTCTCTTGGCGTCAAAGGTAACACAGGGATGCAAAGTAAAGAATGGATCGCTGAAAACCATATCTTCTGAAAGGGTTGCATGCAGATGTATTCCAAATACATTCCGACTTCCTTGTGTTGTTTTGTATCCAACACTTTCAATTGCCGTCTTGATAGTAACATGTAGTATCCTTGCAGTCGCTTGTAAGTGGACATGGTGAATATATATACCTAAACGCATTACGGAGATGATACAGATAGCTGATAGCGCACCTCTTGTTACCTGGAACCCGATTCACAATGCGATCGTATTATCGTAACTGTAACATCGAATTACAATTTCTTTGTTTTCTTTGTTCGTTGTTTAACGCCACACAATTTCCCAGCTATATGATGTCGGTCTGTTAATAGTCAAGTCTGGACCAGTTAATTCAGTGATTGACATCATAAGCATCGATGCGACCGCCTCCGTGGTGTAGTGGTTAGAGCGTCCGCCCGGAGAGCGGAAGGTCGCGGGTTCGATCCCCGACCGCGTCATACCAAAAGACGTTAAAATATGGTACTTGTTGGTCCCTGTCTGGCGCTCGGCATTAAAGAGTACAACAAGGACTGGTCGGCTCGGAGTCAGTATAATGTGTCTGAGTGGGGTATTCATGCTTCACTGCGGCATGGTATCTCAGTGGGCTAGCACTATAAAACCAGCCTCAGTCTGGGCTAGTTCAAGCAGCCGCACATACACATACACACGCATGCACGTCGTCATATGAGCGAAATATTCTCAAGCACGACGTTAAACCCAATTTCACCTCACCCCATAAGCATCGATGCCATGTCTCAAACGAGGGTTGGGTTGCTGAAGATCTTTACGAGGACATCGACTTACGTCAGCCATAGCGCTCAGAAAACTTTATGAAACAAGGCCTTAGAGTAAAACATACCGGATAAAATGCTTTGTGTGTAGGGCAAATAAGGATATATCAAAGCTTCAAATGCCAGTTTTTCTAGAAATCATTAGAGATGTTTCCGGGCAATAATGGATTAGCCTTCAGAATCTAGGTGCATTAAACAAGTCTTTTCGTGGAGAATCTGCTGAATCACACCGTACATGGATATGCCATTAATGAATGATGTCTTGTCATTGCCCAAGGGAATGCCGATATGTTCAACAAGACAATGGCAAAGGGAAAATTTGATAATTTTCTGTATGTTCATATTCATTCTAGGCATGGTCTGTACAGTTCAAATTAGATTTCTATGTAGTTGATATCGATTGTGCTTGTTCTGGTAGAAACATCCCAGACACGTCAATTTGTAGCCATAGTGGTGTGCAGAATAACCTAGAGTATCAAGTGCAGTATATATGGTTCAGTTGGACCGTGATTATTGCAATATCAGGAGGTGAGGTCTACAACTCTGTAACATGTGGCGACAACTAATCCTAACGTTATGCGTAATTTCTTCAAGGTCTGGTTTTGGAAAAACCGAGAGCGTTTGCTCAAACATCGGCAACTTTGCAGAGATTACTACAGATAGAAATCTGAAGCTACCTTACACCGAAAGTTTCAAAATGTCATCTGTGACATTATTGCAGTGTGTGCGGAGATGCCTTGGGTGGACCCTGTGCAAGTCGATTGACTTCAATATTCCAAACTTTGACTGTTTTCTAAACAAACTCAATGCTTCTGATGTACATCCCGCTGATTTGAGAATCCACACAGGATTTGTACATAGGTAAGCATGGTTCTTTTTACAAGTTTACGATAGTTTCAGGAATCTGAGAGACGTGTGAGGAAATCCATAAGACAACTTCAGATGCTGAAAACTCATTCATTGCTGCTGAGAAATGATCATATTTTTCAAAAAAATTAATCTCTATTTCACTAAGCATTATTTTAGTAAATTGCTCGCAAAAGTATAATACCTACTTTTCAGGTATCATTTTAAGCAGTGAGGAATGTTATAATTACGTCAATATGAAGCTTACAGGTTATACACTCTTAAAAAGAAACGCATAGGTACTCATGTAGCTGCGGCAAAAACAATACAAAGATACTTAGTCTATTTCTTTCCAAATGTCGTATTTGTGTGATTGTAAACAACTTCAGTGCCAAAACGCGGCAATTTTATCTTTTCCCCTTGTTTTAGACGTGTTTGAAGAAATATTCACCAAAACGTCACCAACAAAACATACAAAGCAAAATGCACGTGCAAGTAAGCGGAAAAGCATGCGGTATCGATCACTATAAAAAAGGCAAACGTTTTAATTTTGTCATTCGTTTTTGCATGGAAAAGAAGAAATCATCATGCCACGACTGAGTGCCGCCAAACGAAACATTGCCATATGCCGACATTTCAACGTTCATTAGACTTTGGGATAGTTTCCTGCAGACCAATTCCGCCCATGATTGTCCGAGAAGCCTCCGTCCAATAGTTACCACCCAAACCCAGGACCGCTACATCCGTATTGATCACTTGCGTCATCGTCTTGCCACAGACGTGGAGACTGCACAACGCTTTCCTGGTTTGAGAAGAATTTCCGACCAAACTGTCAGGAATCGGTTGCGTGAAGTGGGGATTCGGCCAAGAAGGACAGATATCGCCCCTGTTTGGAGAGACTTCCATCGGGGCAATCGCTTGCGGTGGTGTCCTAGATTCCGGAACTGGAACTTTAGAAGTCTAGAGGCGATGATGAATCGCGATTGCCATGGCCTTCCCGATCACCAAATCAGTAATTGCTGCCAATGGTGGCCATACAAAGTACTGACTGTGACGCCATCTTGCGGACTCAAGTAAACAGAAACAGAACAATAAAGGCTGCTGCCGTGTTGGCGAACTCTTTGTCTACCTTTTACCATTGAAATTATATGAAATAATTGTTCTTAAACTAGCGCAATAAATTCTTCTGAAAATGGCTTATGCTTTTTGAAGAGTGTATATTCATAAACATCAAATCGGATATGTCACAAGGGAACAACAATGTTTATCAATACTTTAAATAGTATTGCATTTTTGGGTGGTGGTGGGGAAGGGTAAATAGCCTATAAAAGATTTAATGTGTCGGTTAAAAAGTTTGGACCCCTATTTCAGATATACATATGTATATGTACTCGTATATGTCTGTACATGTTTAGATAATGATTATTTCCCAATCATCATTCTTTAGTATCATTGTTAATAATATACGCTACCGCTCATATTCATTGTGTATATAAAATGTATTTTTGGATAAAATAAATCTTCATGTCATCCTTTCGTTTTCGTAGATACGCGTGGAGAGCTAACATCATAGGGCATTATTGTTTGATTGTTTGAATACTTTTAACTGAAATATTCCGTTTTTCAGTTCCATTTCAATGTGGTCGAGGACGTATGCTGGCTTATGCTTCAACCACACATGCCTTGATGATCAATACTGTGAAGAACACGCTGGGTACACAACATGTACAACGTTTCCATGAGCAGAACATCTTAAGCGTCGAACGGGAATGACACCAAATAAAGTTAGCAACGAATTTCAAAAGAGAAATCCTACATGCCATCATTTTTACACAGAAATTGGAAATCTTGTGACAGTTTCAAATAAGTGTTATGTTCTTCATGACAAATCATAATGTTTTGAAAGACTGACGATCAATATCATGGATCTGCATCCATAGGCTCCGTCAACTGTTCCCAGATGAACTTATTTCCAAAAGTTTGTGAATCCATAATCGACTTTACTATTTTGAAAGACAAAATAACATCATTTATCGTCAATACAGTTTCCAACAGGCAGTATACGTACTTACTGCTGTTAAACAGTGCTGTTGACTCATGCCTGAGTCATATGCCTTCGTCCTTTAGCTGTTGTAAATTGAACTTATGTTCCAAGTGTTTGTTATTCCGTAAACGACTTTATTTGAAAGAGTAATTACCTTTGATATTACTTCATACTAATACAACCGACAGCCAATAGTATGCGTGATTTTTAGACAGTGTTGGCAATTTTGCAACATTACAAAGTCGAATCAAGAGTTGACAACTTTGGATCTTTATCTTGTCAAATAATGAGTACAATTTTGTCTTGCCTTTTTTGAAGGTTGATGAGTGAGTGTGTGAATATTTTTAACGCCGCATCAGCAATTTTACAACTTTTGCCTGCGATAAATGGCATTGGTTTTACATTTGAAGGGTGACGGAGAAAACAGAAACTAGTGGACATATTCAAATGCATCTGTTTTCCACTAAAGTCAAAGTCAAAGATCTTTATTATGCATGAAGGCCACCGGCCCATAGACATATAACATATATACAATCAAAATATATTGGAAACATGATGTAAAACCATTAAGAGTTTAACAAAGTCTGTCTCTTTTTATAAGCAGTATATATGAATTTGCATAACTTTAATAATGCTTTATTTGAAGCAGAAGTTAACAGGCTTTTGAATATAGATATATTTGGAATGCGGTTGTAAATATGTGGAAAATAAGATAATCTTTCTTCAGAATAATATTTGCATACTAAAAGAAAATGGAATTCATCCTCTATACCGAATTTACAAACAGGACATTGAGTAGAGATACATCAATATTTAACCATCTTCCTTCGTTTATTTTTAATCGTAATAGGCCTGCTCGGAATTTTATAAGAATATTACGATATGTGTTTTCATGTATAACCCTTAAATATTTTTCAAGTTCTAGTAATCTCTTACATTCTCTATACAAATTGTAGCGTGAACTGTTGTCGAGAGTACAATGCCAAGATTGGAAAAACATATTTACACATACATCTTTAAAACATCTAAGAAAATCAACCTTATTGCCTACACTTTGTGCTAACCATACAAAGCCAAATTCACGTGAAAAAATATATTCATCTGGCTTCCAATATTGTCATTTTGATCAAAATTCAACATTCCAGGGAGAGATATGACTTTTGTTACATTGTTGGTGGATACATTCATCGTAGTTTCTTGTTGAACTGCATCCTGTTATAACATGCTGAAGAAAGTTTTCTCATACTTTTTTTTATCTTAATACGTATAATCATTGTGGTAGAAGGTTTAATTGAATTTTGTATTAATGTTTATAGTCTAACAGTTAACAGTTGCAGAAAGTCAGTGTTTATCCATCAAGAAAGTTTTGTTGTTGTCTTTGCCTCGCCGGACTGTTATTGTTGCATGTTCTTGAATATTTGTGGGGGTTTTCAACATTCAGCGTGGCATATTGTGTTGTTTTAAATTTAATACAGCCATAAAGTGATAACTTTAGTTAGTCTGAAACTAGTTGTTATTCACATTTATAATCACGTCACTAGCCAAAGATCTTTCTACAAACAATACACAGTATCTCATTGGGTCATAGTTTCTTGAGAATGGTCTAGAATGGTATTTTTATTTAGGACTAATGAATGGCATTACCAATCCTTCAGAATAAACATTCTGATTATGGTTATTGTCAGTAAAAATCTCAGCACAGATCGATTAGCCCAAATACGATTGTGTCACTTTAACTAAAAATGGCAGATCTGAACTCACTGTAATCTCACAGGTTTACTGCATGTCATATTTGATTTGGTGCGTTACGACTTTATTGTAATTTCATTGTAATTTTAATTTTAATTCATTCACTAGATGAATAAAGTTTTTTTACTAAATATCTCTTTGCTATGTGTTTATCTGTATTTACATAAACCAAATGTCGTGTGTATAAATGATGTATTGTTTATATTACGTTTTTTGTGCTTATGAATGTTTAGTTTCAAAGTAAATTCTACACACCTTGCTCATCCACTTTGCGTTTGTATCGAACAAATTGTGATAGTGCATCTCTAAGCAAAAAAGACACGGTCCGATAACAGAATTCAAAACTACATATCGATTTGGCGCGTATTTCTCTTTGCCCATAGGGGCGATGGGATAGCCTAGTGGTTAAAGCGTTGGCTCGTCACGCCGAGGACCCGGGTTCGAATCCCCACATGGGTACAATGTGTGAAGCCCATTTCTGGTGTCCCCCGCCGTGATGTTGCTGGAATATTGCTAAAAGCGGCGTAAAACCAAAACTCAGTCAGTCAGTCAGTCTTTGCCTATAGATTATATGTTTTACTGAACAAACTTTCCTTGTCATATTCTTTATTCAGGACTGTGCTTGCGAACCTTGTTGTAAAAGTATCGGATCGTCACGCCTAAACCCTGTTTTCTATTAAATGTTTGAAGTTGGTACGACATGAGTGGAATATTGACTGTGAGGACATAAATTCTGAATATGGCACTTATTTTGCATATGCATATGCTTCCACAAACTGCAGTTTCTAAGTCTATTTCTAGGTTCATCTAAGTGGTTCATCCTGCTACCAAATACGTATTGCTGGTCATTGCAGTGTTGCCCCACGTTTAATGTAAATTCTGTTTGTAAAGTCTGTGTGTCGGTAAAGGGCCATGAATTCACAATGAGACAGAAATCACTTCATATATCCGCTTCCGGTTATACCAGTTTGTTCATCCAGCTCGTATCTGTCAAATCCACATTGATGTAAGTTTAATGTAAATTGATATTTCAATTGTAATTTTGTCATCCGTTTTTGTCCTTGATAAGTGCATCATACCAACAGCAGCGCAGTATGTACGTGCAACTATTTAAATGGAACACTCTTTAAGTATCTGTCGAAATTGAAAGTATATTTTCCGCTCCAGAAAAAATAGATTGTTCATTGACAAAATACAATTTCAAGCAAATTCATTCCACAGTTATTTTATTGCTGTCGGAACGATTTATTTATGCAACTGCAACCATACATTCGTTATATACATTACATCTGTTGTTATTTTATCACAACCGTTTCTCTTTCGGAGACAATGTTCCATCAACGAAAGCAAACGTCAACTACCGGCGGCAACTACCGGAGGGTTTAACAGTGTACATACGATATTTTACATATATTCATGGGCACTATAAATGATATAATCGCTAACTCTCTATATGATGGGACACTGAATATTATAATTCGGGGTCCTTAGACTATGTGAACAAACGATCACATTGTTACTGACACAAATACACTTCATAATTATAGTTTAAGCTGCATCACTTAATCACATCACTGGGTATAGACTGCAACCTATGAACCCACAATAAGTACATTTGTACGCACTGTGTTATGACATGTTCAGTTGTCTCGTTTAATGCTACTTCCAAATCTTTGATGATGTTGGTGTACTAGCATATGTATATCCTTTACGCAAATAACTCAATTTTATTCTATAAAACATATTTATCTTACCTCACATATAAATGTCGCTTTCTGATTTGCTGAGCGCTCTTCTATTATTTTCAATGTACCCAGCTTACAAGCGAGTGACATTTCATTGTACCCCGCTGTCAATGACAACTCATTTGGTACTTCGTGGTAATAATTTTTTATCTCGAATTACATTGAATCACGTATTATGTACGGAAATTACCGATGTTTTGCGAATGCAAATCGATGGAAGGGAGATAACTCTAAATCTGTTTTTCTTGTCAGCATAATCTAGCAATGGCCCATGGCTTGTGTCATGGCCAACTTCTGCCACTCTCCGACGTAGATTAGAGATGTACATAGGTTCTGACCCGTTTAAATGTTAAAGTACAGTTGTACAAATGATTATTTTTTTAGTCAGTACTCACAGAAAACTTCGACATAGTTTTATTTTTAACAGGCAAATTTAAAACAAGACTTTCCATAATGCACAACTGCTGTTGGGTATCTCAGACATCTTGCCTTTGTAAATATATACATTGGGCTTTTTAGGAACTATTTTTTAACATCTTGGCGGTCATGTTGCAAATTCAATTTTTATCCCAGTTCATTATTGAATCAGTTTATTTTTACACCAAATTACCTAGCCTAAATAAGTGATAGTTACTACACATTAGCAAACTTACCATCACGTCATTCAATGCTCAATTAATTAACAAAAGCACCTCAGTGTATCAACATACATTTCTCGAGGACAAAATAGCAATGGATGCATATTCGGGTCTATTAAAAAAGGCATATTTCCTATGAACATGTCAACTTTTTGAAGAAGAGATATCCAAGGATCATTATGTAACATACTTTGGTTACAATTACTCGATTTTTGAAAAGAGATATTGAAGATCGGTGGGATCCCAAAAAGTGACTAAATACGGACTACACGGAGATGCAAACTACGTCAAAGTTCGACACAACGGTGTTTGTATACATGTATATCAGCATACCCTGATTTCGTCAACACAAGATTGTGTTCAATCAAGAAGATTGTGAGGCGATGGAACGAATAAGACTGTTTTACTAGGGTAGACACTGTAGCGCGCAGAAAGAACGGAAGTATAGAATTGACAAGAGTAGGTGACCCCTGGATCTAACCTAAAGAGCATT